GCATGCGTTTTTTGTCGAGATGAGTTGGAGCTTTGGAGTCGATCCGCACCGCATGCAAATGATGCTCCGGCGTCTGTAGGCACTGATGCGGGCCAAGGGCGCGGTGGCGTTCTACAGGGTATCTTCTAGCGAGGACTCTCTCTCTCTCTCTCTCTCTCTCTCTGATGGTACGTACGCACGCGCCAAAAAAGCAAAAATCCGGCTCAGCACAACTCGGCCCAACTCACGTGGTATGCGCGTGGGCGCGTAACTTCCCCTGTTGTTGTCCTTCTGGCTGTTGTTTTTTTTTGTTTTTCCCATCATTGGACTCTGTCGTCTGCCCCTCTGGCCCCTATCCTCCACTTCTACTAGCTAGACGGCCCAACCGGGGTGACATAGGAGGGGGGGGCTGGATCCCCTCCTGGGGTTGTATATTCTCCGCTGGTGCTGCGCACGGCACTTCTGGGGTTTTGTGCAGCTCGTCTTGCTTCTTGGCGGAGGCTTTCCATGTTTGAGTAGTCAATTATCTTACAGCCAGGTCGATAACCAGGTTTGTGTTTGTGTATTTTTTGGTCCGCTGCGACTATTGTGAACAACGCATTTTTTATTTTGTTCGCCGGGTATGCGCATGCGTAGGGCGAGCGATATTTGCTCGCCTCCTGTCAATGTTTTGCCATGTTCGACGCTGGTGCGTGCTGGTGTACTTGACCCGTTATTTGTTGTATGCGTGTGGCATTTTTGGCATCGATGGCGCTAATCGGCCGACCAATGATCATACGTCAGTCTCGGCGCGTGGCTAATATCGGATAACTCTTCTAAAGCTGTATGTGATTGGTTTTTTCGTTATCCTTCTGTGATTTCTCGTCTCTCACTCGCTGCAGGCAAGAATGTTCGTGAGGCTGCTGAAGGAGGACTTGAAGAGCTGGGCGTACGACGCCGATCTCGCGGGCCTTCGGTATTCGTTGGAGATGACCACCAGGGGCCTGCAGCTCTCTGTCGGGGGGTACAGCAGCACGGTGAGTTAGCCTGTAAGTTATCCCTGGGCTTTGAGGGTAGCGGGGAGGACTTATGTCATGAAGTGTCGTGTCATGTACGGTGATTTGGCCACCCGCGGGCTCTTGGTTGTGATTTGAGCGGAGTGAGCAGGGGTTTTGACACGAAAATGTGTTGCGTGTTTGGGAAAGAGGTGAAGAAGGTACATTGGAACGGGGAAAAGTGTATTGTGTTTCCGTTCTATTTATTATCGAGACAGTCCCCCCCATTTTTTCATGTGCCGTGGTGAGACGTGTGCTATACTTCTTCGTGTAATTTTTAGTACAACTACAACCATCCAGGGTCAAACAGGAGGGGGTAAACACCGAAGCTTTTCTCTTTTTGTTTTTGTTTTCGTGCCCCACCTTCCTCCTGCGGTACGTGCTGAATTTTTGTTGCTATCGGGAGAAGGGTCGAGCCGTCCCTTTCCCTCGTTGACGCTGCGTATAGTTTGAGTTTGTTACTCACGAGAGCTTTTTCGGCTATTGTTCGCTTTCACTCGCAAAGTTGTAAATTTTTTACCCCATAGGGATTCGAGCTCACGACTTTGCCGCTAGCGGTTTCGAAGTTACCACCAACGGGGGCGACCGGGTACAGAGTAAAAAGGACCTTTACGAACAAGTGAGGTGTCGGGAGATGCTGTTGTGTTGACTCTGCTGCTGTTTTGTGTTCGAAGCTCTTTGTTATCATTCTTCTCCCAAAAATGCACACGACAAAACTCGTCAGGTCGCCCTTCTGCTTTCCAAAATCTTGGGGCACATCGGAGATCTCCTGACGGAGTATCGCGAGCTGGGCGCCCTTATGGAGTCCGGCCGGGGGGGCGGAGGAGACGGGGCGGGGGTGGGGGTCGGGGGGCACGCGGAGGGGCAGGGTTTGGCGAGCCTGACGGCGAGGCAGGAGTTGCTTCGCCAGCGGTACGAGACTTCGCGGGAGAGCTTCCTACGGTATTACCGCAACTCGGCACAGGACCAGCCGTACGAGACAGCGGACTACTACGTTCGGCAGGTAAGACGGAAGATGTGGTGGGGCGGGGGCGGGNAAAAGGCGGGGGTCATGAAAATTGTAGCTCTTGTGCGTGTTGCGCGACGAAGTAGGTTCCATGCTTTCTATTTAGGTCAACATGAGAGGGCCTCCCGCCGTCTCTGCCTTGTTACGTCACAGTAGAGTACGACACAGTTATCGTTTGTGTTATCGGTGTCGGCCCTCCTTCATAGCTTCCGATTTGTTCACAACATAACCGTGAGCCCTCTCCTCCCCCAAGACACACGAACATCCGGGGATTTACAGTTTTATTCTCCGACTTTTGACCCAGTAGCGCAATCGATGCCAAGTGAAGAAGCAACAACACGCGAACTCAAACACAACGCAGGTGATGGAAGCCGAGGTCTGGCACATCGACGAGTACAGGCAGGCTCTCGAGGACAGAGACGCCTGCACGCCGGCGGACATGGCGAGACTCTTCGACAAGATCCTTGGCCGCATGCGCGTGGACGTAATGGCTCACGGCAACGTTGGTAAGGGCAACGACACGGAGACATGATTTTTGCCTACCTCGACATGGAAAGGTCTACTCATTCGTTGGAAATATTTCCGCACGAACCCAGAGTAGTTTTCCTTGCGTCCAAGGGCAAAACGAAGGTGGGTTACCTCGTCTTGATTTAAATATTTGAAAGACCCAGCAGTAGTAGTAGTAGTACATATTCGGTGGCTGTGTTGTCCCTTTTTCCGTCCCCATGTCATCCCCTGCCTGATAATCCGACAGGAGCATCATATCTTCTTATCTACTCCTTACATACCCATTGTTATGCCAGGTGGGATTTTGTATTGTGGCATATGTACGTATGACCCTGCCAATTTTTACGTGTTTTCGTGTGCGGTTCACACCACGTCCCATGCACTGGTGGCAAACACCGATTTTATCACAGGGAGAAAGGAAGCGGAGGACCTAGCCTCGGCGATCGCTGACGCGTTGTCGCGGCCGGAGCCGCTCCCGGAGGCAGAGCTGCCGACGAGGAACGCGCTGAGACTGCAGGCGGCCGGGGAGGGGGAGGGCGGGGGGGGGAATGGCGTCGTCGTCGTGGAGCTGCAGGCGGACGAGGCAGAAAAGAACTCTGCTGTCCAGGTGCGTTTGTTTTTTTGTTGTTGAGAGGGGGGGCATCGTCTCTTCGTTTCGTGCATGTATGGAAGTTTCTTTTCAATTTTTACCCAAACTTATTTTTTGTGTTTGCTTTGTGCTGTGTGTGATGCAGTGGTGGTATTTTGGGGTAGGTACGTGTGTATCGACGGTGCTTCGTGTATTCGGTTTGTTTGGGGGCTTTGGTCGTGCGCTTCATTTTCGCATGCTGCGTTTCCTATGCTCAGCAGTCGGGGTCTGTGTTTTTGATTGGACTAGAAAGAGTTCCCGTGCGAGGTCTCGGTCGTGGTGAAAAATATTTTTCCGCTGCTAGACGTACCCACGTGCTGCTGATGAGGATGATGATTATGATTCTGCTGCTGCTACTGCCTGCTGCTGCTGCTGCTGCTGCTGCTGCTTGCTGCTGCTGTTACTGCTACTGCTACTGCTCCCGCTTGCCGTGTCTGAAACTACGCTACACCCAACACGTGCGCACCCCACACGCACGCACACGCACACAACACACAGGTGTACCTTCAGGCGGGTCCCGGCGAGTCCAACCTAGACCTGGCCTCGGCCCTGGAGTTGATCAACACGCTCGGGTACACATCCGCCTTCCAGCAGCTGCGGACCCGGGAGCAGCTCGGGTACATGGTCTACACCCACCTTGAGCGGGGCCCCTCCGGGAAGGTGACGCCGCCGGCGTCGTGGGACGGGGCGGGAGCGGCGGGGGGCGGGGAGGAGATGCACCCCGGCGGTCCCCTGGCGTGGTCGGTGGTGGTACAGAGCCCGGACAAGACGCCGGCGGAGCTGGAGGAGAGGGTGGAGGCGTGGATAGCCGGGTTTCGGGACGAGCTGGCGGCGTTGTCGGACGAGGTCTTCCAGTCCACGGTGGCGTCCATGGTGAGAGGGGAGTGGTTGTACCAGTGGTTGTTGGCGGTGGTTTATGGGGGCGTTCGGTCTCTTCTTGTTCGGATTGCAGGATCACAACCGACGCAAAGTGTTTTCGCAATCAAGGCAAGGTTACGAAGGGTCAGGCGGTCGCTTTGGTTCATTTTTTGTTTACTCGAGACTACTTGTAGCACTACTGCTCGAAGGCCTCTTGGCTTTACGCGCTGACAATGTGCTCTCGCCACGTTTGGTGTGTTCGCCTATTCGCCGCTCCGCCGGGTTGCTTGTTTGCATGTACGGCGCGGCAACCAATCGGCGGTTCAATCATCAAAATTCAAAATTGGACGATTCAACGAAACAATCTTTCTGGACTGGAACATCAACAACAACGGCCGCAACTCTCTTTGAAGTCTTCGAGCGTTCTCCGGCGAGAGCGGAGCATGCGCGAGGAGGCGAGCATCTTCTTCGGGGCCATCGCCAGCAGGACGGGCGACTTCTACCGGCGCTACCGCAAGGCCGAGTCCTACCGCCGCCTCACCAAGCAGGCGGTGCTCGACGCGTACGACCAGTTCTACGCGCCCGGCGCGCCCGCTCGCCGCAAGCTGAGCGTCAGGGTCGCCAGCCAGAGGCACGCGCGAGACGCGGAGGAAAAGGCGACGGTGGCCGCGGCGGAAGGGGACTGGGGGCACCGTGGTGGAAGGGAGGCGGGGGGTAGTGGCGGCCCCGTCGTCCTGCGTAGTTTGGAAGACATCCGGGCCTTCAAGGCTCGCACCCCAATTTATGAGTGATGATCGGCGTTTTGTTGCAGAGCATGTGTGTGCAGTCGAATTTTTTGACGAGATTTTGACGAGAGAAGATGCTGGCGTCGTTGTGTGTAGTCGGGGGCGGATGGGGATCAAAGTTCGTTGTATGTAGCCCCTATGTTGGTGTGCTTGGTTGTCGTCTGTCAGATTTTTTAGAACGGAGATGAGATTTTGTCGACAAGATTTTGAGGGGAGAGGTGTTGTTTGGTGGGGCGTCGAGATTTGTTTAGTTGGCTTCGTCAAAGACGCGCACGCTTGCTTCGGGGCACGCCTTTCACCATCTGTTCGTTTTATGATAGAAGACTGTCTCTCTTTTGGGATATTTTTTTGGTGATAAAGTGGGTCGGGTGCTTGGCATGGAGAGACAGACAGACGCGTGACACCAACCACTGGTATACATACAAAGAATGAGGTTAAAAACGGCTCGCTGTAGAGAAGTACTGTTTTTTTCTGTGAGCCGACCTGTGGGAGAGGTCTCTGAGACCTCACCTGATGAAGATTGAGAAGCTGGGTCCCCGATATGAATCGGAGATTCATTTCTTCTCGCTTCAATGTGCGCAATTTGGAAGTTCATTGCAAGGCACCCCGAACAACCGGACGGACTACTTGTAATAGACTTCGTACAGCAGTATGTTTTTCGGAGCAATACAAACATCAAAGATTCTCGTTCTCTAGAGAAAAACCCGTTCGAAGGGAACAAAAAAGAATCACCGCCTAATCCCAAAGACTCGTGCCCCAGGTTTGTACGACGTGTAAATAGCTGAGAAGAACTTTCATGAGGCACTTCGTTCGCTAGATAATCTCTCATTCACTCGATGGAAGCTACCACTTCGGCTTCTTGCGCGAACTGCAGGAGGGGGCACATCCCCTCGAGAACAGACACAAAATCATTCATGCACAAAAGCTGCTGTGTCTGATGCCCGAAATGGTGTGTGTCATACCTGCAAAAATAGCCTACTTTGTTGTACACCCTCGTGGGAACCTACATTCAAACAAAAAATATTTGCCGCTTTCCCACGTGCACGTACACATAATCTAGGGAAAACGACAAAGGTAGGCGTTGCGCTTTGGTTCGTGCTGAGTTGGAGCTGGGCACCATCTCTCGATACACGGAGCAAGAGCTCCCTCGGGCGTGAGAGAAAGGGAAAGCGAGGCGGAGCGAAGCCAAAGGAAAGGGATGAGAAAGGGAGGGATCGGGGAAAAGTATCCCCTACTTCCACGGGTTTCAGCGCAGGCTTTCTTCCTTATCCTATTTTGCCCGCACGCCGCACACCGCAACGCGAGGTCGCGCCGCGCTTGTAGGTGTGCTCTCAACAGCGTGTGCGCATGTGTGCCGGCCCTGTCCCCGTCTAACAGGAACGAACAAGCCGAGCGGAGCAAGGAGTCGCAGCCTCTTCGTCTTCTCCGGATCCTTCCCCTTGCTAAACCTGCTCCTGGGTTTATCTTCACACGTGGTTGCCTCATCATAAAAATCGCCAATCGACCGCTCTCTTCAATCTGTGAAAGGTTGAGCCGCTCCTGGAAGTGATCGAACACGGCACCACCTTGGGCGAGAGAGAATGTCTCAGCAAGCTCAAGCCGTGGAGACTCCGGCGGCTGCTGCCGCGCCTCCTGTCGCGCCTCCTCCGCCGGCAGTTCCTCCGGCTCCTTCTCCTCCAGTACCGCAAAGCATCACCGCACCTGCCAGTTCCGACTCACCGCCAGCTCCCGCCGCATCCGCTCCAACGCCATCTACTTCTGCTTCGGCCCTTCCTCCGTCCACCACTGCCGCCGCCGCTGTGTCCCCCGGCGCGCCGCCGGCAGCGCCGAACGGCCTGGCGACGCAGTACGGCGTGGTCGTCTGGCCGTCCCTCCCGGGCCTCCAGCAGGCCGCTGTTGGCGTGGCGCCGCCGGCGGCCTCGTCCGCTCTATCCGGCGTCGCGGCCGCTCATCATCGCATGCCAACAGGAGCCGGACGCGGCGGGATGCTTGGGCCCGGGATGGAGCAACCGGGGCTTCCGGCCGGGGCGGTGCCGCCGGGGGCTCCGGGCGACTGGAGCGGCATCGGGAGGACGATGACGCCGGTGAAGGGGCGCCGCACCAAGGCGCAGCGCGCCAACGGCAGCGGAAAGAAGAGCAACGACCCCAACACCGAGGCAAGCAAAAAAACAGTGCCGTTTTTTTTGTTGATGAGCCGGGGGGAGGAGGGATTTATTTTTTGAGAGTTTTGCCGCCTTTCCTTGCGAGTGTGCCGCGTTTGTGTACGTGGTGTCCACCCTGCTGTCGCTGCGGATCGGTTTGAAAACCACGCATGATCCAGGGTCTCAGCCGAACCCCATGCCCTGTCTGTAACACTTGTAGACTCAACAGCAGCGGCAGCCAGAAGCGTCCCCACACAGCGATCTCTCAATGCGCCTGCTGCGACCCCGTTTTTTTTAGCTCTCCGTGTCTCTTCGTAGATTTCCCCCTCCATGTGCCCAGTAGGCCATGTGCCCAGTAGGCCTTCCTACCAGTAGTGTAGTCGTCTTCCCCTTTGGGATCTCCCCGCTCCCGTGTGCGTGTGCTTGGTTGTTGAACTTGTTCGTGTTACAATTTTCGTTGCCCCGTTCAAAAGAAGTTGCCATTCCCCCCCGTTGCCGCCCACGATGGGTTCTCTCGCTGTGTTCTTTTTCTTGGCCGATGTTTGTCATCCATGCGCTCGTCTGTTGTTCGTCCATGCTCGCGTGAAATGATGTCCGGCGTGCAAGGTTGTGACCAACCCCAACGCCTCAACTACGGTGCTATTGCTCGAGGAACCCTGATGGTGTCTAATTGCGCCGCGTTTTAATTTGAGCCGTTCTCGTTTTCGTCGCGCATGTGGGGGTGGGATGTAGAGGTTTCCCATGTCTGCTGTTCCTTCTGTCTCACCTTGGTAGTGCGTGCTGCCGAAGAACGCGGGTTCTAAATATCGTTAATAGTGCAAGAGGTAGTAATCACGGCAGTGTTGGGCTGAGTTCGCAGCACAAAAACAATTACGTGCCCGGTAGAACCTTGCCTCAAAACAACGCCTTTGCTTCATGGCCGGACGATGAGAGGCACACCCATCATCAAGGTAGCTCAGTTTCTCAGCCAAGTGAAGTTGGGGCTACTCTCTCATGCTTGCGGCAGGCAGCGGTCCCTCTCGCTTCTTGCAGTGGGACGTGTGCGAGCGCGTGCTGCGTAGTTTTTCCTCATGAGATGGCGCCGCGTTCGGTCGGCGGGGGCGCGGGAGTAAATATCTATTTCAATGATTGCAGGGAATCACAGGCAGCAAAGATCTTTTGAGCTTTTCGGTCCGGTATCGTTGTTGTTCCTGTTGCGTCTTTTCTTGTTGATGGAAGATTATTGCTGTCAGCCTTCGGGAAACCATCAGTGTACCGCGGTTCGTATGTATTGTAGCAAAACTTGGTGCTGAGCCAGTCGTCGCATTGCCTCTTTTTTTCCGTTCCTTGTTCCGAGAACAGGGGAGGGGCGACGTCACGAACGACCGCGACACGATGGTCGTCCTGCGTAGCGCGTGCGACGCGTGCCATCGGATGAAGCGCAAGTGCGACGGGCTGCAGCCCTGCAACCGCTGCCGTCGCCGGAGCCGCCCCTGCGGCTACAGCTACAAGCAGAAGTCGGGGCCGCCGAAGGGGAGCAAGCGCAAGCTCATCGCGGCGGACGAGGACCTCCTTGAGAACCGGCAGTCCCGCCCCAAGCTTATCCAGGTGCCGACGATGTGGCCCAAGGACGCACAGCAGCAAGGCCACGCCGCCGCAGCCGCAGCCGCCGCAGCTGCCGCTGCGACGGCGCACGCGGCGGCCGCAAGTGCCGCCCAAGCGACCATGCACGTGGCGGCGGGAGGTGAAGCAGCCCTGAATGCCGGCGCTCCGTCAGCGGGCACCAACGTGGCTGCCCCTCCCGGTGGCGCCACCTCGCCGGGAGCAAATGGTATCAATCGGCTCTTGGCGGTGGGCGGCCACGGCCAACAGCAGCAGCCGGTGCCGCAGCAACAGATGCCGCAGCAGCAGCTGCCGCAACAGCAGGTTCCGCAGCAGCAGCAACAGCAGCAACAGCAGCAGCAACAGCAGCAACAACCTCAACCCCCAAGGCTTCCCGGAATTTCGCTTCCGCCGGAAGGCAGCCCGAGCAACGGCGCAGGGGCGGCCGCGGCTGCGGCCGCCGTGGCGGCTGCCTCCACCGCCCCCCCCGTCCCTGCCGGCACCGCCGTTGCTGTTGCTCCCCCCGCCCCCGGCCTCGCCGTCGCGGGGGGAGGGCCAAACAGCCCGACCTCGCCACCCCCGGGGGCAGCGAAGCGTGCCAGCCCCAAGAGCGGGGGTGTCAAGCCCAGGCACAAAGCCGGCGGCGTCCGCCCCATAGCCGACCTGGTGCTGCCGAGCGGCGCGGCGCAGCTCTCCCTCGAGGCTCGGGCCGGGGCCTACCGGAGGGCACAGGAGGCCGCCGCCGCGGGGATGGCGGCGGCGAGGGCTTTCGTGGAGGGAGAGTACCCTACGGACGGCAGCGGCGAGTTTCTCTCGGCGAAGTCCACCGCGCTGCCAACGGGGCAGCCCGGCGGCCAGAAGCAGGGCGCAACAGCGGCGCCTTCGGACAGCGCCTCGGCCGCCGCCGCCGCCGCCGCCGCGTCAGCCGGCGGGGGCGTGCCCTCGGCTTTGTCCTCCCCGTCGGCTTCGCCAGCGGGGGCGGAGGCGGCGAGTGCTTCTCTTGCCACCGCCATGGACACCACCGCGGCGACTGGGGGGGGCGTTTCCGCGCCTTGTACCTCGGCGCCGCCTGGTTCGGCGGCGGGTCTTCCGCCCCCCGCGGCTGTCGGCGTTCCTTCCACGGCGACAGGCGCAGATCAGCAGCAGCAGCAGCAGCAGCAGCTGCAACAGGCTGGCACTCCAGCGGCCGCAGCAGGATCAGGAGCTGGAGCCCCCTCGCCAGCGCCTCACCCGGGGATGCCCCCCCAGGGCATGGCGCCGGGCATGGGCGTGCCGATGGCCTACCACCCGCAGTACGGCATGTACTCACCGTACCCGCAGTCGCTGTACGCGGCGTACCTCGCGCAGTACCAGCTCCAGCAGGGGATCAACCCGTACGAAGGGATGAGCATTAACCCTTACGAAGGCATGAACCCTTACGCCGGCATGAACCCCTACGCCGCCGCTGCCGCCGGCGCTCCGGGTGCTTCGGGAGCGCCCAGCCCGGCCACCACGACAAGCCCCGCGGCGGCGGCGGCGGCGGGTGCTGCCCCTACGCCTGCTCCGGCAGGGGGCGCGGCTGCTGCCCCCCCAGCAGGCGGTCCTGCCCCCCCCGCGGTAAGCGGGGCCCCCGCTCCTGGTGCCGGCGCCAAGCCCGTGCAAGGAATACCCGCTCTCCCGGGCGTCAAGGGGCTGGCGCTTCCCCCAGCTGTCGCCGCCGCCGCTGCCGCCGCCGCCGCCGGTGAGAAGCCACGGCGAAAGGAGAACGAGGACGCGAAGCAGGTGAGGGGGGGTGGGCGGGCTTGAACTGCTGCAACAGCGGCAGGTACGGTTAGACCTCGAGAGTTACATTTTTTTTGTTGGCCAAAAAGGTTTCCGTGGTCGGTAGCCCAACAGACGTACAGTCAGTTCAAAGTAACCAATAAACGCTCCCGAAAACAGGCGACAACGTCACCAAAACGCAAAAGACACGATTCCACTCGTAAAAATTGTCAACGACACCAAAGTGTACAACGTGCGCTGCACACAAAGTCTAAACGTGGCGTCTTTGGAGAACGACTCTGCGTGCTTGGTATTGTGTAGACTGGTAGAGTTCGCGCGCGCAGCATGTTTCTTGTTTCTTGTTTCACAAGCATCTTGCGTCGACAAGTAGAGTTGTGTGGATGCTCGAGTTTGTCTCCCAGTCTCAACGCTGCTTGGCGTGTTGCCAGTACTTGTGTCCCAGAACGTGCTTGGTGTTTGTCTTCATCAACTACGAAATTGGTGAAGCCGACGTTTATCCATTGCTTAAACCACGTCCCGTCAAACCCCGCCGGCCACACACGCATTTTGTAAACATGACAGCTTGCGGTAGAAACCCTCCTCGGGCTCAAGAACTCGCAAGGCTCCAAGGGCGGCGGTCCGATGGACGAAGCTTCGGCCCAGGCGGTGGTTGCCGCCGCAGTCGCCGCCGCGGCCGAGGCCACCGACGGGAGCGCTGCCTCGGCAGCCGCCGCCGCGGCCCTGACCGCGCAAGCGGTCGCTCAAGCCGTGGCCGCGGCGAGCACGGGCGCTGATTCGGCGGCTGCGGCTGCGGCTGCGGTGGCGGCGGCGGCGACGGCGACGGAAACGACGGCGACGACGGCGGCGACGGCGGTTCCTGCTCCGCCGTCCTCGTCGTCGTCCACCGACACGGAGCCTTCTCCGACCAGGGGAAGACGGTTTGACGCGCCGACCGTGGGCGAAGGAAGAGAAGAGCCCTCGACGGAGTCGGGGGAGAAGGCCGTCGTGGTGTCGACGGCGCCAGCGGTGGCGGCGCCGGTAGCGCCGGCTCCGGCGGTGGCGCCGGCAGCTGTCAAGGCGGTCGACGCGAAGGGTGCCGACGTTGCTGCTGCTGAGTCATCGGCCGACAGCGTGGCGGCGCCGGCGGAGGCGGTGGAGGATGCCGAAATGGCGCAAGAGAAAGAGCCTTCGCAGGCCGCCGCTGCAGCGGCGGAATCGGCGGCGGCGGTACCGGCGGCACCGGCGGCACCAGCGACTCCGGCGACTCCGGTAGCTCCCGTCGCTCCCGTCGTTCCGGTGGCGGCGCCGGCGGCAGCGGCAGCGCCTGCGGCGGTGGGGGTGCAGAACTGGGCGCCGGTGCACGGAGGCCCGGAAGAAGCGGCGGCCGAGGCGAGCGGGGAGAGCGCGCAGCCGGCCGCTACCGCAACCGCTGGGCCGGGGACAACGGCGCCGCCGGCCGCGGCGGGCTGCGTCGATGGGCAGGCGGGCGGGGTGCCGGTGGATGTTTCGGGCCAGAGCTCCTCCCCGGCTGCTAGTCAGATCCCGGCTGTCGCTTCTTCTGTCGGGTGATGGGGGTAGTAGGTGTGCACCGCTGTTGTCGCTCTCCTTTTTGGTGGACATCCGCTGTTCGGCGTACGAATACGGGGCATATTGCGGTTTTTTCCCGCGTGAGCGAGAGGCGGTTGGCACGCAAGTCATGCACGAAACGTTTTGAGGTTGCTGTTTTTTTTCTTTGCCGCAGCGGCACGGTGCAGCCGGTTGTTTTTGTGAAAATATGATGAATGAAACACGCAGCGTGAAAGGGTCGGCAATGGGGTGGGGTGGGTAGGGGGAAGGAGGAGCTGGGGGNGCTGGAGGTCTAACTAACTCTGGGAGTAGAAGAGAGAGAATTACGGTCCCACACGCGGATGGATGTCTAGCACCAAAAAGCGCGAAAAAAAGGAAGGGACTCAAATCGTGTAGGTGGCATTTGTTGCTTCCCTTGTTTGCATACGGGTGCTCGGTTCGGCAACAGCAGCTAGCTATCGGTGCCGGTGCTTGCGCCGGGCAAACACGTCTGTTTTCTGTTTTGGGTTCCTCGCTGCCTTACCGACCGGCTGTGCGAGGAGGACCGGGGGGAGGGGG